ACGTTTAAAAGCGTTAGGAATGATCCAAAAGCAAGGACATTGGGTGCCGTATGAGTTGAAGCCGAGAGACGTTGAAGGACATTTTCTCATGTGTGAAGTGCTGCTTCAACGCATAAAAGAAAAAGGTTTTCTGCACGTATCATCACTGGAGATGAAAAGTGGATTTACTACGACAATCCAAAGCGTAAAATCGTGGGTACGCCCGGTCAGCATCAACATCGTTCCCAAAACAAATATCCACGGTTCCAAGATTCTACCTGCATTTGGTGGGATCAGCAGGGCTTAATTTATTATGAGCTGCTTAAACTAATGAAACTATCACGGGAGCTCGCTATCGACTTCAGATGATGCGTTGAGTCGAGCTCTAAAAGAAAGCGGCCACTATTACGGGCAGAGACACGACAAAATTTTGTTGATTTTTGTTACATGACAATGCTCGGCCACATGTGGCAAAACCAGTCAAAACTTACCTCGAACGCTTCAATGGAAAGTTCTACCTCACCCGCCATATTCACCGGACATCACCCCTCGGATTACCCTTGTTTCGGTCGATGCGCATGGTTTGAGCGAGCAGCGCTTCCATTCTTTCGAAGAAACCGAAAAATGGGTCGATTCATGGATTGCGTCAAAAGATGAATCGTTTTTTTCGACGGGGATTCAATTACTGCCAGAAAGATGGGAGAAGTGGTCTCTAATGATGGACAATACTTTGAGTAAAGTTATTGTAAGCCTTATATTTTAAATAAATGTTTTTTTTAACAAAAAAACAGCGAGAACTTATTCAAGGTCCTATATATATTTACACACACATATATTATATAGATTAGGTCGTTCACAAGTTCTGCGGCTTTTTTACTTTAAATTGAAACAAACATCCATATATCTTTTTCGTCATTCCAAGCTGTTTTAAGTTTGCAACAGTAGTATGAACGATATTAAAGAGTTTCGCGATCTCCCGCGTCGTTAGATGCCGGTCAACTTTGATTGGGCCAAAATTTGGTCATCAGTGGTGGATGATCGACCGAAGCGAGAGGAGCATCTTCGAGGTTCATATTTCCAGAACGGAAGCGCGCAAACCAACTCTGACAAGTGCCGGGGCTTATGACCGAGTTTTCGTACACATCACTAATTTCGCGTTCGCTGCGTTTGTCGTTTTTTCGTGTATTTCTTTCTGATAAACAGAATAGCAAAATGTATCAAAAATGTATTTTTTGATCTTTTATTACCAAATAGTACGCGTACAAAACATGTCAAAATGCTACCAAGTTTTTGGCGAAATGCCAAGCGTAATCTAAACTTTCAATTGGTATGAACATGAAATAAGCCGCGGTTCAAGCGCTGTATGTTATGTTTTCAGCCGTTCAAAAAAACCGCAGAACTTAGTGAATAACTTAATACATTTATATGTGTATATTCAGATAGCCATAATAATTATTATGACATCATTTTGATGTTATAATAATTACTGTGGCTATCTGGGTACACATATATATATATATATATATATATATATAATTATGTATTATATATATATATATTATATATATAAATTATGTATTAATATATATGTATTTATATATATAACACACATATGTATAAGGTATGTCCATTTATATGTAAATTGTATATATATATATATATATATATATACATATATACATTATTAATATATATATATATATATATATATATATATACATGTATATATATGTTTCTTTCATATTGTACAATATTATATGTATATAAAAATAATTTTTATATAAATAAATTCTGAGTAAACATTCTGCATAAAAATTTAATATAAAATAGTCAAGAATTTTTCGATTTTACAAGATATTTTATATTGTAAATTGACATTTTGAAATAAAATACAAAATATTTTAAAAAATATTTAATTATTCTATATCTAAAATATTAATATAAGATTATAGTATATTAAATATTTTACAAGATATTTTGTATTTTTATATTAAAATATGTCAGATGTAAAATATCTAGTTCTATTTTTTTGGTTATATTACTCTTATGATTTTTTATGCAAAATGTTACAATAAATATATTTTCATAAATACACTTAAAGTTGTGCTATTAAAATAAATCAAGTTGATTATTATTATTATTATTATTTATGTTTATTATAATTAATTATATTTATTGTAATTATAATATTTGATTATATTTATTTTTTGTGTCGAAAATTATATGCTAATTAATGATATATAATAAATATGTTAAATAAAAAACATTTCTTTTTCTGTATGTCGTAGGATTTTGCCTGGGTGGCAGAAATGGATATATTGTAATGGTTTATTATATGTGAATAGAAGTGTGTGGGTTAATATATCTATTCCGCAATTAATATATATAAAAAGAAATCTGATCATAAAATATTCGAATTTCTTAGTTGTTCCGAAGATCCTGCAATTGTCTATAGTTACCTGAACGGTTACTTATCGTCATTAGGAAATTTGTTTTTTGAGAGTGATGAAGCATCAGAAAAAGTAAAACGTAATAAAATGTATACTTTGGAGATTATTATTTTTATTTCTACTATTGCGAGACATGTTAAGAACGAAGTAATATTTAAAATAATATTAAAAATTTTAATAACTTAATTGATATGATACGTTTGAATAATCCATATAATACATTTGGGTAAATATAAATTTCTTGTGAGCTTTTTTTATAAAAATATTTTGTTAATTATAAATCTTTACATAATTCTTTTTTCATATAGAGTAACCACTATGAATGCAGCATTAATTGTGATGATTAACAATGCATATTCTCAGAAGCAACTTTCTGAGGTAAATTTAAAAATTGATAAATTTTTATTTTTGTATTAATTTTTTATCAAACTATGTCACACACACAAATATTTTAGACATACATAATGAACAATTTTTTTCTTTTTCCTTGAAATATCTTATATAATATATATATATATATATATATATTTATCGATATAATTATGCTAATAGTTTAAAAATTTGTCGCATTTTTGTTTTATAAAATGATTAATAACTGCTTAGTAAAAATAAAATTTATTTTAGATAGAAGAATTTGCACTCTATCATACGAAATTTTGTTTGAGTGTTAAAAACAAGTTAAAAGCACGTTCTGAACAACTGATGAGTCAGGTGAAATTTTATGATGATATATGCAAAGATTGCAAAGTTTTAATAGATCTAACTAAATCGTTAAAAATTTTACTTCAGCAAATACACCTACAATATTTCAAGTAACGAACTGTTTATACATATGTATATATACATTATGTTTACTGCATATATGTATATCTATTAAATATTAAATAGTAAAACGTAGATGTTTAGTAAATATTATATATTAATATTAATCTATACGAAGTATAAACTATATAACGTATAATTAATAATTTATTAATTTATTAATATTTGAAAACTACTATTAATAATTAGTATTACTATAAGTGTTACTATTGCTGTATTACTATTACTGTACTGTAGTATTACTATTACTCTATTATTAGTATTACTATTTTTAATAATTCTGATAATTATTATTATTTTAATATTAACACATTTATAATGTTATATATATTTATAATTTTAATTGTATTGTAATATAACAAATATTATATTAACGAGATTTAATGTAATAATAATTGTAATTTTAAATTATTATTTTGTATGTTTATTTTATATTTTCTAAAGAATTCTTTATATCGTTTTAAATATATGTATAATACATTTGAATAATATATGAATTTGCGCGAGAATAGAATATATTTTTTAATGATATCCTCTGACATTTATTATACACATGTACGTATAGCAAAATAATTTTAATATTAAATATATATATATATATATATAATTATCAATTTATATATAATAATATTATCAATGAATAAAACCTTATAATTTATCAATTTAGAATCTTACTTAACAAAAAAGTAAAACTTTGATTTTAAAAATTACGGCTCCAATAAGAAAAAGATAATGGCAAAAATAATGGTAAATATAAACATTTGAATAATATTGCCACACAAATTTTTTTATATACATATACATTTTTTCTATTTCAATTTTTCTGTATTCCAAAACATTGTTTCTTTTTGAATTATTTTTCATCTTATGTTATATTTGTTACACTTTTTTCGTTTATATTACATTTCTCTTTTATATTACGCGTATTTTTAATAAAATAATTTTAGAAAGAAAGAAGAAGTCAAGATAATATGAAATTAAAGAAACCATATTGTGAGTCACCAATTTAGCTTCAAACACATTGAATTAGAAAATTTAAATTTTTTAAGGCATTAAGAACTAGATGATACTGCTTAAGTTTAAAAACAATATTATTTTTTAAAAAAATTAAATGAATAGGTAATGTAAATAAATTTTAACAATTTTTAAAAATTATCTAAAAACAACATATACAGCGTGTTCCAGACTTAGCGTGCCATCCGTTAATGGTATATTTCTGAAATTATTTTGAAATGAAAATTTTAATACTAAAATGTCGGACTGTATTAGTTTTCAAATGAGAAGTTATAGAAGTTTATAATTGACTAATCAAAAAATTGTCCAAAATTCGCGAAAATTAAATATATAATTATTAACAATAAGAAAATAATTGAAATCAATAAGTAAGTATAAAATGTGTATTAATTTTATATATATCTATTATTAATATATTATACAACAACTTTTTATACTTACTTATTGATTTCAATTATTTTTTTATTGTTAATAATTATATATTAATTATCACAAATGTTAAATTAACTTTTATACTAATTTATTTTAATATTTATATAAATATTGATTACAATTATATAATATTTATTATGTAATATGTATACACATGCATACATACATATATTCATATACACAAAGTTTTATATATTAATTATGTATTTAAATTGTAAAAATAACGAAAATTATATTAATGAAATTAAATGTAATAATAAATTTAATGCCAAAAAATATATTCTCGTATGTTTATTCGGCACTTTCTAAGAAATCTTTTCATATTTCATTAAAAGCATAACTTTGGCGTATATTTTGCCAATAATTTAGTGTTTATAAATCAAACTTCCTTTATGTAAAAATATTTTATTACTTAAGACTGTGCTTTTTAAAACTAATTTTTATATAATCATATCTTATTAAACCATTTCTATTTTATTTACTAATCGCATGTACCATTATAATAGAAAGTTTTATTTTATCAAAATAAAAACGTTTTTCATTAAATTTAAGTACAGTTTAACTTTTTAAAGAAATAAATAAGAAACAAAAATCCGATAAAAATAAAAAAATATGAAATAATGTACATGTACAAAAATTAGTGAATTAAATAATACTCATTTCTTAATGTATGAAAATTTTCTGATTGGATTTCTTGTACGCTTAATTTCGAGACAATTTTAAATGTTAAATTCAAAGTATATGTTGGAAACTGTTCGATCTTGTTTTAACTTTTATCGATCGAGTAATAATCAAACAAGTCTCTTATATTATTACGCGTGTGACTTTATAGATTTATATATGTAAATATTTCATGTCGTATCGTAAACGTTGTCAGTCATCGATAGTCTCTCGAGAAAGCAAGATTAAAATTGAGCAACACACTTTTGGCTAAAATAACGTCTGTGATTCAACAAACAAAAGGCTAAAGGTATGTGAAATATATAATATTTTAATATTTTTTTGAAATAAATGTATATAAAAGATGCAAAAAGGACACAATTGCAGAGTTTTTGTTTTTTAAAGAATATTTTATTTCATTTCTAAGAAAAAATAATATTTTTTATTTCAACTATCTCTATATTCAATTATCTCTATATTGTCTGCATAATATATTGAAACCTTTTCAGTTTTGTAAAAACATTTTTTAATTTGTTTCGTCTTATAACAAATTGTGTATACTTGTTTAATTTATTTTACCTCAAAAAGATATCGATAATTAATGCTTTTTGTAACATTATTGCAAAATTAAGTTAATGCTTTTTGTAATATTATTGAAAAATTAAATATGTCATAATTATGAAGAAAGGAACAAATATAAATTTTAATTTTTTTTTTAAAAAGTGGTTCTACAATAATAAATATTGTCTCTTTTTAAGTTTAGATTAATTTGTCATAAGACGATATAAAGACATAATTTGAATTGAGTTTAATTTTGCGACAGCTAATTCTTCGTTATCCGTTTTTTGGAACTAAACATTACACATACAGTAACACATAATTATGATGACAAACATATTGATAAACAGCTGAAAATACAACGGTTAAAACTTAGTTATTAATGATAAGATATTATTTTATACATTTTTGTGCAAAATTTATTTATTATATGTTTCCGATTATAACATTTATAAAAAATCGAATTAATTTATAAAAAATATTAAATAAACAAGTTTTTATAGACATTTTAATTTGAAAAAACAGAAATACGAACAATATATAGCTTAAATATAAACATTTAAATACGAACAATATATAGGTTAAATATAAACAATATACACAACTCCCTTTTTATAGTGTATATTATTTAATATTCGGTATTACTACTTACATTTATTATATTACATTAGTATTTACAATGGTTATTTCAATTTATTATTTATAATTTTAGTATTTAAATAGTATTATATATATATATATATATATTTTTTTTTTACTTAATAATTCTATTTACTTATAAACGATTCATGTTTTACAATATACATTATAAATTAATCAGCCATTGGTCTATGTAATATTGGAATTTAAAAAATTTAATTGTCAAAATTGAATATTATACATTATTAATAGAATTTATAAAAAATTTTTTAAATTAAAATTAACATACATTGCGTAGTCAAAGTAGATAAACTATATTGTTCATACAAACTCTTTGTTAAATTGATAACCTATATGTATTTATAAATTGGTGTATTTCTTTTGCAATTTTTAACTTGTGTTACCTTACTTATGTTTTCTGTTTAATTCTCTTATTACTAGCAAAGAAATTTAATTTGTAGTTGATTATTATTATTAATGATTATAAATACGCATTATTTAAATATTTGAAATACTTTTTTCTTTTTATTTTTTTTTATTTTCTTTATTTTAGATTTCTATAATTTTTATTTCATAAAGATTTTGTTTCGTGTTTTTGTTAAAAAATTTTAATATTTTAATATTTTAATATATATATATTTATTTTAATTTATTAATTTTTTAGTCTAGGTTCCTTATTTTTTTTGCAATTCTATTTATTTGACTCTTTGAGTTTCTATTTTTGTTTTATTGTTTTTTTTATATTTCCATAGGAGTCGCGACATTGTGTATATTTTCTTTCCACGTTCCTTATTTGTTCTTTTGTTTAATTATTCTTATTATTAGCAAAGAAATAATTTTTTATTTTCAGATTGTTGAAATCCAATATGATGTTTCTAGAATGGTCATTAAATATATTATTATACATTACTGTAATAACAATGGCCACTTTTACTAATGAAAACGCAAAAATTCCGTGCCATACCGTACCTAATTACCGTAATTCATTAAACAACGACTGTATAATGCCGATTCATTACAACCTGGACATGATAGTGTTACCAGGCATTTCATTTATTGGCGAGTTGAATGTCACTTTTTATATTAATTGTGAAATATCCAATATAACTCTACATATTGCAAGATCCGAGCATATAGTGAAAGTGATGCTTAAATCGCCTAATGGAACAATCTATACTCCAAATTTTGATTATTCGAGAAATTTTGCTACTTTGAATTTCATTAAATATTTATCGCCTGAAAATACACACTTAGATTGTGGAGTTTATACAATGTACGTAAAATATGAAATCATATTTGTTCATCGGCATTATGGAATGTACTATATAAAAAGAGAAGATAGAAAAGATAAAGAGTAAGTATATTAAAATAATAAAAGTAGTGTTTAATAAATAATGCATGAGTAAACATGTAATAATAAAAATACGCTAATATTTATATACACATATATTATACAATGTTGTATACTTAGATGATTTTAAAATTATCTAGATAAAAGTGAGATAAAAATTTGATAAGATGAATGTTATTTTAAATTTATATATATTTAGATAAAAGATAAAGTTATATTGTGAATCATTTAAATAACATTATTTTTAAAATCGCTTATGTAAAGAGTTATACAGCTTATAAAAACAATGTAAATTATAAAAGAGATATATAAAATATATTCATTTTTTTATATGTACGTTTTTATCGCTCACTGCTTAAATTTTACTACTAGATGAGTATATATATGTATGTGCGTATGCGTGTGCGTGTGCGTGCGTGCGTGCGCGCGTGCGTGCGTACGTGTGCGTGCGTGCGTGTGTGTGTGTGTGTGTGTGTGTGTGTGTGTGCTAGGACTCTAAATCAAATTATCTGAACATTATTCTAGATATAATTAAATAAGAATAACATTATTTTCATCTAAGGTGCATAGATATGGATAATATATATTTTTAGTAGTTATATGAAATTAAACTGACATTAAAATTTTATTTAGATCATTTGTATTATTATACGTACAATTAGATAACAGAAAACATTCTGATAATATACTTTTTATACATTATTTATAAATTTCTCTTGTACATTCTGCAATCTTTAATGTTCCTACACAACAACTGCAGAAACTTGTTGTTATTATAATTTAAAGCTTTTTACTTCAAAATATAGGTTTCTATTCGCAAATTTACTCCAACCGAGAAATGCTCGACAATTATTTCCGTGTTGGGACGACCCAAAACTGAAAGCAACTTTTAACATCACCGTCAAATTCGATACAAGATACATGTTATATCGAATACGATACCAATAAAAGTCGATTTTTCGTATAACGGGATGAAACGTTTACTGTTCCACATGACACCTAAAATTTCTGTAAACGATGTCACGATTATAATGTTCGATTTGCAACCACATTCTCTTTCCAAGATAAACAAGATCTATTTTTGGAGCAAATGGGATTTGATACCATACATGAAATGGGCGCAATATGTTGCGGGAAATGTAAGTATGTATTTAGAAAACACATGGAGGATTATTTCGAGAAGCGAGCCAAAAATGGATTATGTAATTATTCCGATAGACTTGACCGAGTATAAAAGGCGGAATTGTGGAGTGATTTTATTCAGGTAATACATTATTTAAATAAAAATAATTTTAATTATAGTTTAATAAAGTTATAATATTTTTTTTAGTTTTGTAAAGATTTATTATAATTCCGAAGCATAAATTTTTTTACACTAATTATTTGAATTTTGGCTTACTTAATCAGATATACATATATGTAACAGAGTAGTAATTATTCAGTAACGTTAATACGCTACTGAATAATCACTATTTTAATATACTTTACAGAAAAAAATGGTACAAGACTTTTCGACTCAGTTTTCTACGAGGAATATCGCCATATAAATATTGGGTGTCAATTAAGTGACACCCTGTATACATATATGTATATATATGACTGCATATTTATGAGTTTATTTAGTCTGAATTTTAAATTTTAAATAAATATATATATATATATATATATATATATATAATATATATTAGTATCTAAAATAATTTGAATAAGTTATTTCAATAAATCATCGTAATCGGTTAAATGTTATAGTTAAATTACAGAAGAACTTAGATATATCACGTAATAGTCATTTGATATATAGACATTTAATATTTAATAATACTTTACTTTTTGTGTATCATTAAAAATTTAAATTATTAATTTGGAAACTTATATATATATATATATATATATGTATATGCATATTAATATTACAAATAATAACAATCTAATAATATAATATAATTATATAATATAATAATAATAATAATAAAATTAGTAATAATAATAATAATATAATAATATAATATTATTAACTTTTAAAATATTTTGATATAAATTATTTATTTACAAACAATTTTTAGCAAAACAAATATTATCTACAATGAAGAATTTTATCCTGTTGCATTTAAAACTTTAGCAATGCGTTCAGTAGCTCATAATATATTACATTATTGGTTTAATAATTTTTTCTATTCGTTATGTCAATCTTCCTGGTGGTTGAACAAAGGCTTCGTTGTGTTCCTCGAATCATATATTATCGATAAGGTTGTTTCATATTTATTAAGCTAATTAGAAAAAAAAATCTTTTATTTAAATTTTTATTATATATAAACTATTAAAAAATATATTAAGTGTAGTTAATAAGTACATGTAAATTATGTTATTATAATTTAAATAACTTTTGCACACAAACATACAAATAAATATTTTGAATACAGTACTCTCCACAAGTTTGGAAACACCTTACATTTTACAGTTAAACAATCGTATAACAGCGATCTGTGCAGAATCTGTGTTTTTGTATGAATAAATTGTAAAAAAAACGTAAAATATTTAAATAACATTTATATATATGACAAATCGCTGTCATACAATTGTTTAACTGTAAAATGTAAGATGTTTCCAAACTTGTGAAGAGTATATGTACTGCAATAATATTTGTAATAATATTTTTATTTCAAATTATTACATATTACTCATGAAAATTCTATAATATCCAATCTCGTTTTTCTTTCTGCAGATATATCCAGATTCTCGGATGATGGACTTGTTTGTAGTTCAAATCCGAGATGATTCTTATTATTTACATCCATTTGCTGTAAATTATTTTAAGGAAAATTCTAATTATATGTTTAAAATTAATTCACCTTCTCCTTTTTCTCATACTGTGGGTATGTTTGTATGTGCATTTGATTTATGTAATGTAATTTGACAGGTATAAAGTATATTTATACCAGTCATTAATAAAATTTGTAAATAATTTGTAACCAATAGTTGGAATGGCTGACTATATATATCTAAGAAAAGATAAAAAGTATTAAATTTACAATTATTTCTTCTTATTTTTATTCTGCCAAAAATAAAAGTAAATTAAATTTAAAATTAGTTTTTTTTGTATTATACTAGTTTATAGTAATTTTGTTTGTGAATTTATGAACATGAAGGGGATTGAATTTGTAAATAAAATGTGTATATATATATTTTTTAAACATATTTTATATTTTTATTATAGGAGCAGCTTTTTGGCGCATGTTAGAAAAAATAATTTCATCTATCTTTTTTTGGGCGAGTATTGACGAATATTTAAATAGGAAGTAAGTAATACGTACAATGTAATATAATAATATTAGTTTATAAAAAATTTTTTCTTTTTTATTCTCATTTAAATGGTGTATCTTTCAAATTTTCAAAAATCTTATCAAATTATGGAAACAATTTTTGCTGAAAACAATGACTTATTTTTACCAGTACGTCAGGTTTTCGAAATAATTGAGATTTATTATGTAAGAAATGGTTTTTGTTAGATATTTGAGATTTTTTTTAAATCTATTTAGAATTTCAAAAACTTACTTAAAAATACGACTGAAAAGTAAGATATTGAAATACGAATGATGTGTATTATAAAGTATGAACTATTGTTCATTTTTCTCCTCATGATATGATGATTAGATTATTAGATGACGTTATTTTTTTATTAAAAAAAATCTTAAAAATATTGCAAGAAAATCCTTTTTTATACATTAAATCTCAATTATTTTGGAGAATTGAAATGCTAATGAAAAATTTAGTTTTCGACACCGTTTTCACAAGTCAAAAATTTGAAAAAATTATTCTATTTGGTTTAAAATAATTTTTAGCTGTAATATGGTGTTATTATTATCATTAAAACACATAGAGACACACATACAGGAAAGTAAATACAAAATAATAGCAAAACCTAAAAAACTTTCTCAAAGAAAATACAATCTGAATGATGAACACATATGAAAATATATTTAATGACGAACCAAACTTCCATAAATAACAAACATAAGAAAATAAAAAAGATATTAAATATTGCAAATTATTATTAACTTCGTTAATTAATAAGTGAATAAAGACAGAGATAAACATAATAAAAATATATAATGTGTATAAATATTTATATAAATGTTCAAATAATATATTTTAAGGTGTTTTAAATATAACAAACTTAATATAAATATTAAAATAATATATATTTACGAAATACAATTAAACACGTGTATACATTTTTTAATGCTATTTATTTATTTATATTTCATTAATATGGAAATGTAGATTATTTTGTACAATGTGTGTATAAAAATTATTATTTCGTTCTTTATGTCATCATAATTTGATTTTTGTGAGAATCGACATTAATCTAAAGTGAATTATTCTAGCAATATCAATAAGAACATAATAATTATCATAATTTTATATTTTCTAATTGCTACTCAGTGATGTATGGTGTTATCACATTTTTAAATTTTACAGATTTATTTCTCCTGATATGGCAAATACTTTCAATGATTTCTGGAGCATTATGTCAATTTTTATGAGTAAATTAAATCTTAAAAGATATAATTTGGACATAAAAAAGATTATGGCTATTTGGTCTATGCAGCAGCATTATCCCGTGCTAAATGTTACACGATATTATTCTAGAAATAGTACAAAAATATTTTTAGAATTTCAGGACGACATGGATCAGAATCCATATTTTATACCTGTCACTTTTACTGAAGAAGCAAATATCAATTTTGATGTAACTGTTTCAAATATTTGTTATTTGACGCGCTCAAATCCAAAGTGGGAAATACAGTTTTTTATCCAAAAAAGTGGATAATTTTCAACTTACAACAAATTGGTAAATATTAAATCTCAAAGTTTAATATGTGTGTATTTTGTTATTATACAATAAATATAAGAAACACCTTGGTTAGTTTAAAATAATGAAAATAGTTTCAACTATTGTTACTTTTCTAACTATAATCAGTTTTTGTTTATATAATTTCTTTATAGTTATATCTGTTTTTCAGAACTTTATTCTTTTTTACAATTATCGACATTTTATTCTATAATTAACAATATATAAGAATTTGCCATTATTTATTGTATAATATGTGCCCAATTTGCAGTACAATTAATACGTCCTTAAATCATCATAAAATAAAAACATATATATTCGAAATATATTTTATATCATATATTTTGAACAAAAAAGTAAATATTAAAATTTATGCCGTGTGTCGTGTACAGGATTTTATCGCGTCAATTATGATGGCGAAAATTGGAAATTAATTGCGCGTTACTTAAATTCTGAACAGTATACAAATATACATGTTCTGAATCGAGCCCAAATCATCGATGACTCATTCCATCTGATGATACAGGGAAAACTCAATTTTTCTACATTTTGGGAACTCTCGAGTTATTTATGGCAAGAGAACGATTATGTGGCATGGTATCCTATGTTTAAAGCTCTGGAATACATGTCAAATATTATTCCATTTATTAATTCTGGACTCTATCCTTCGGAAGTATTTAAGGTATTTTAAATTATATCGATAAATTTTTTTACATATTAGAGGGATCCAAAACATTAATAAATATTTGATGTTTGCTAGAAATATTTAAAAATAAAAAATTAAATATTTTATTTTTTTTTCTTACATTAATATTTAACATATCATTTATATATATATATATATATATATATATATATATATATATATATATATATCGGCTGTGGAGTCTTACGCGATGTTTTTTACGTCTGTTATAGGCGAAACTTAATTTTTCGTTAATTAGAAATAGTATTTTTGGTGTAGTTCTCCAATTTATGTGCTCCCTTTTTTAACTGTAACCCTGTAAAGTTATAGGCGAAAAAAATATCAACCCGAAAGTCGGTTGAATTAATATTTAA